TCTGGAACTTGCTCTGTAGACCAGGCTGGCCTCAAACTTCCAGAGATTCACCTGCCTCTGCCTCTTGAGTGCTGGAATTAAAGGCATGCACCACACTGCCCAAACGTTTTGGTTTTTAGAGACAGGGTTTCTCTGTGTAGCCTTGGCTGTCCTGGAATTCACTCTGTAGACCAGGCTTAGTGGTGGTGTGTAAAAAGCAAGTTTAATTTTGAATTTTAATAAAAATTGTTTTTTATGAAGTAAGCTTGCCAAATAGACAGTGAGCCTTCCAGACATTAAAACAATAGTATATATTTGTTTAGTGAGGTATAAAATAGCATGACATTGTTGGGAAATTATTAGAAAGCTGACATTTTGGGGGCAGGGCCACATTATTTTAATACACACACACACACACACACACACACACACACACACACACACACTTCACAAACTTCTTTGCATCGATGTTTTCTGACTGAGCCTGTGGTATTGAGGCTAATCAGACCAGGTCTAATTGGGAAGCAGAATGAGATGAAGGCAAAAAAATTGTCCTTGCACTTGTAAATTGTGAATGGGATTAGATGGTACTATTAAGTTTAGAGAAATGGAAACTACTGCTCAAGTTCTTTCAATGATAAAAATCAAATATGATATTCACTTCCAGTTTTTTTTCATTTGAATGTTTTGTCCAAAAAAAATTTCAAAGGCTAGAACTTACTTTTGACTGTAGTTGGGAAAATTGGAAAAAATAGTGGTTGTAGCTAATCAGGCACGGCTTTAGCAGAATGCATTTGCACACAGACAATTGTCAGGTCTAGAAGCCAGTCATTTTGGAACACGGTTTTGGAAAAATGTCAGTTTCAATAGTCAGGTTGTTTACCCAAGCTGCCATATTCTTGCTCTTCCTTTTCTCACCTGCTCCTTCTTCTTTTATTTATTATTTTTGAGTTTACAACATCCAGTAACTTAAACTACAGGAAAGACACACAAAACTCATTTTTTTCCAGTTAAAAGAAACCCTTTCCATTTACCCATGTTTTGAACCACAGTAGCCTAAAAAAAAAGTGCCGATTTCATTAGGAAAAAAAAAAACGTTAAGAAGTGGAGTCTACTAGAGTGTCGCGTTGTCACTCTGTGCTCCTGCAGTTAAAAGCCGTGTCATTATTTCCATTCTGCCCACCTCCTCATTGCGAGGGCTTATTAGCTGGGCTGTAAAAACTTGCTCCCGTTGAAGTCTGGCAAGCTGACAAGGCTGGGTGCCAGAAGTAATTTACTATCCAGTGCAGTTTGTAGAGCAAAAGGAGCTATAAATAATAGAAAAAGAAATGAAAAGTTACTGGTTCCAAAGATTTTAATGCATGTAACGCATGTCACCCCAAACTTGGATGCCTTTGCCTGTCTACAGTGCTAGAGAACATGGAAGGTTTGAAGAGTGCAGATGCTCCACTCTCGACTCAAGCTGAAGGCTCTGAAGTTCTCAGGCATCAAAGACCCATCTGTGTCCATCACTTCTGCCTGACTTTGAAGTGTCAGGGCCCTCTGTGTGGGAGAGACAGACAGGGGGACTTTGAACGAAGTAGGGGGATGGGATTCCAGGTGCTTTGCCTCTCATTGTGTTTGAAATTAGGTATTTTCCTTTATCAAATAATAACGGGTGGGGGTGGGGGACATTTCTTTCTCCGCTATTTTGAGCCACTGAGCTCTCTATGAACTCTGCCTTCAGATGTACAATGTGACCACTCCAAGGAAAAGTTCAAGTTTACTTTAAAGTTTGCATTCAAGTGCATTAAAGGCAAGAATAGACATCTTAGCTTCTGGTTAGTGTTCCTCTGGTAGGCTCCTTATGAGATTGTCTCAGGACCTTAATTGAGGGCTGTTTGCTGTTTTCCAGACTGGCTCATCAGCACCAAAATGGAGACCAACTGTTCCTTGAAGGCCATGGGTGATCGGAATACATCTTTCTGGCTGATATCACTCTTTCTTGGTAATCAGGGTGGGGGTATAGATCATGAAAATTTAGATTAAAATAACCATTGGACTTGGGAGCAGGTTCTGTGGGTAAAGTGTTTGCCATGTAAACATGAGGACCTACCTGAGTTTGAGTCCCCAGAAACCAGAGTCCCTAGAAGTCATCCAAAGCACCCAGTTCTACACAAGCGGGGACAGGAGAAGCCCTGAAACCGCAAGAGCCAGCTATCCTGGTTCAGGCATCAATAAAAAGCGTTCCTGTCTCAAGAAGGTGGAAGGCAGGGACTAACATCTGAAGCTGTCCTGTGGCTCCACATACTCAGACACATAAACACACATCATACACACAAAAGATTAAAGCACGCAAAACAACCGCTTAAAAAGCCAAGCACATGGGGCTGGAGAGACGGCTCAGTGGTTAAGAGAACTTTCTGCTCTTGCAGAGGATCTGCCACACAGCAACTCACAATCATCTGTAACTCTAGTTCTAGAGTTCACCTTCTTCCGACTTCCTTGGGCATCAGACACATCAGTGGTGCACATGTACAGATATATGTAAAAATTCATAGACATAAAATAAAATGCATAAAAAAAAGCCAAGCTCAGTGGCACAGGCCCAGAATCCCAGCACTTGGGAGATAGAGACAGGAGGATTAGGAATTCAAGGTCATTTTGGCTGTAATAGCAAGTTTGAGGCCAGACTGAGCTACATGAAATAGAATGCAAAATTCATGTAAATGTTTTACATGCTTTAGAGAAGAAGGTTGATAATATTTTTCTTTTCTTTCTTTTTTTTTTTTTTTGGAGGGGGTGTTCTGGGGATTGAACTTAGGACCTTCTGCATTCTAACTCTATCCCACTGAACTAGATGTTCCAGCCCTTAGCAGGTGCTTTCAGCCCTTTTAGGTTGATATTCCAAAAATAAAAATAAAAAATAAAAAAATAGAGTTGTGTGTGATGGCACATGCTTTTAATCCAAGCACTGGGGAGGCAGAGGCAGATGAACTTCTGAGTTTGAGGTCAGCTTGGTCTACAGAGAGTTCCAGGACATGAGGGCTGACCCTGTTTCAAAACCAAAAACCAAAACCAAACCAAACCAAACAAAAACAAAAACAAAACAAAACAAAAAACCAAACCCCAAACAAACAAATAAGAGGCCACCTGTCTCTGCCTCCCATGTACTGGGATTAAAGGTATATACCACCAGGGTTGGCCAAATAAATAAAATATTTATGTGATATGATTAGGTGGATCGACATATAAAGGTTTATGCATTTTATTTTATGTCTATGAATTTTTACATATATCTGTACATGTGCACCACTTATGTGTCTGATGCCCAAGGAAGTCAGAAGAAGGTGAACTCTAGAACTAGAGTTACAGATGATTGTGAGTTGCTGTGTGGCAGATCCTCTGCAAGAGCAGAAAGTTCTCTTAACCACAGTGCACATAGTACTCTAGGCACATAGACAGCTCATATTATGAGATGCAGAAGTGAAAAGAAGATTTTGCCATTTTTATTATAATGATTCTTAGGGACAAGATAATTATAATAGCTAAATTTCAAAACAAGTAAGAGCATAGTTGATTTAAGAACTGTAGTTAGCTCGTTAAGGTCTCTGTCAAATTTGCCTCAAAATGAAGGATTACAATCTGCCAGAGCTCGTTGACTTCCTTGTACTTAAAGTTTGTAAATGCCTTGCACATTTATTTGCTGATCTGTTAATTACAAGCGAGGCATTTCTCTAATCTTCAGTGTTTGGGGACTCCCTGTCCATAATGAACTTGCTATTCGCGGTCATTCTGGCTGTTGACCAGTCCCACTTTACTATTACAAAGAAATCGCATCTTTGATTTACACACGTGAATTCCTACCATTCTCAGATCTTAGCCCTAAAAGGGTTGAGAAATGTTGAAGCCCACATCAACCTCTGTGTCTGTTCTGAGACCGGTGGGGCAAGAAGTGAAACGCAAAGAAAAGGAAGGCAAAGGACTGGGTGGAACTGGGTAATTGCTAAGTCTATTCCCTTTCATAAATCACATAGGGGATCAAGGCAATGATGTGAGTGTTGTAATAACAGGTCTGACAAGAACCCCTGCTTTGGCTTTTTATCTTCTCCCAGGACTTCAAGAGAACTGAACCACGGAGGTTTTTTTTGTTTTTAGGTGTAGTAATTATACCAGCAATATTGCTTCCCCTGTGAGTTACAGGATGGTTCTCTTAGAAATGTTAATTTGCTTGGGCAATGCTGTAAGGAAGATCTAAGTAAATATTGATTTATTTCACCGACTTTCAAACTTTTCACTATCAAAATCCTGTTTTCTAAAACAAATGAGACTCTGATATTTACCGGAACCCAGTATCTTGAAATATTTTGTCTACGTAAATCAGGATATTTATTTTTAATTTAAAATCGTGTGTGTGTGTGTGTGTGTGTGTGTGTGTGTGTGTGTGTGTGTGTTTATGGTGTGCGAATGTTGAGGTCAGATGACAACTTGCAGGAATCAGTCCTCGACTTCCACTGAACTCAGGTGGTCAAGCTTGGTGGCATGATAGCCCTAATTATTTAAATAAGAAAACACTTCTCACCATTTTAAAACGAACCTCCCATGCAGAGGCTTCAATTGGCACGTGAAAATCCAAGTTACCAAGCTGCTTTCCAGAAGCTCGCAGAATGCTAAGGCCGGTGGTCAGTCTTAGAGCCATATCGAATTTGCATATTTAACAATATCATCTTCGATTACATATTTTAGTTTTTAGGTTCTCGGTGATGGGAAGTGAGGACCTGGGATAGGAGAATGATAAAAACAGACGACATCCAGTAGAAAGCGTACTTCGGGCTCTTTCAGGTAACCCCCGGGGCTTTTTCCGGTCTCCGTGGCGCGAGGGTTTGGCCCCGCCTCCAGCTCCGCCCAACCCCGCCCACTCAGGAGCTGTAGTCCAGACCGGAAGGGGTTCCCGCTGCTATTCTCCAGTCCAACCACAGGGAGGCGACAGCGGCTTCGATAGCGAGGAGGACTTTCCCAATGGCGGAAGCGGAAAAGGCGGGACCTAGAAAGCATGTTCAGTCAGTCAGTAAGAGTGATCCTGAAGGGTGAGAGCTGGGTACTTCGTACGCGTGTTGGCCGCCCGGCGGCTTGTGAAGTCCCAGCCTCATGGCGGAGATAATTCAGGAACGCATAGAAGATCGAATCCCGGAGTTGGAACAGCTGGAGCGCATCGGACTCTTCAGTCGCGCGGAAATTAAGTGAGAGGGTCAGGGAAGAGGAAGGACTGGGGCGGGCGGAGGGGACCTGGAGGCGTGGGGGGACTTTTCCGAGTTTGTTTTTTCCTAACGTTGCCGGGATTTGATGACGGTCAGCATTCAGCCGTAACCCATTGCAAGGCGATCTGTCTGTCAGTCTGTCTGACGGTCATTCAGTGGTCAGGGTCTTGGGGCCATAGAGGTGAGAGAGCCAGGATTCCAGCCCATCAAGGACCTACTGGGCAATGGGAATGGCGGGATAATTCAAATAGAATTTTAAAGAAATTGGTTGTAGTTTAAAAGCTTGGGGTATACAACTTTAGAGATTCGAGTACAGCGCCATGGAAGCTTGTAGATTGGAGACCATATAACCCGTTTCATAGACTTGTTTAGAGCTTTGCCACAGCACCTGGCATATAGTTGACATTCGGTCATTTGTTAGAAATCAATTACTTTCAATGATTCTCTGTGACAATTCACTTTACAATGACTCCGGATGAATTACAGTAATGTGAGTATAGGCTCTTCCGTTCTTAAATATTACTGAGTATATTCTGTATTCAGTTTTCCTAAAACACATGTATATTCACTCCTTAGCTAAGGATGGGCTGTCTTCTCCCCTAAGTGTTTTGTAGAAAAGCTTTTTAGATAGAGACAGTTTAGGTTTTTAAGAATTCACGTACTGAAAATATAGAAATCAAGATTTTAGCATAGAGATTTGGTTATCATAAAAACCTAAGCGTTGAGGGTTGAGGCTGCAGCTAAGAGTTCTTGCTTAGCATGCACAAGGGCCTGGGTTTGATTCTGGGGAATGCAGGAAAAAAAATTTTTTTGACAAGCCCCCAAGGAACCTAAATTTGGAGAAGAAATCTATGTTAATAATATGTATAAGTAATAAAGTGTTGGCATTATTTACTTTGCTGGTGGAAATGGCAGTGATCCTGGCAACTGAGGTGATTTTTCCCGAAAGTTTAAAGATATGTCTGGATGTTCTTAACAGCACAGAGGTAATTGTGTAAAGAGAATAAATGGAAGATAATTGTATTCAGGAACTAGATGTTTTGTTAAATGTGTATTTTCAGTATATCCAGAATAAAAATCTTAAGTTCAAATTTAACTTTTCAAGTGTTATAGTTTAATTGGCTTCCTTTGCAGGGCTATCATCAAGAAAGCTTCTGATCTAGAGTACAAAATACAGCGGAGGACCCTTCTCAAGGAAGACTTTATCAATTATGTTCAAGTGAGTGATTCATAGCTTTTTAGTCCCTTCAAAAATTTTAACTCGGGGGGCTGGAGAGACGGCTCAGTAGTTAAGAGCTCTGGCTGCTCTTCCAGAGGACCTGGGTTTAATTCCAAGCACTCACACCTGCCTGTAACTCCAGTTCCAGGGACCTGACTCCCTCACACAGACACACATGCAGGCAAAACACTAATGCACAAACAAACAAACAAACAAACAAGCCCAAGATTTTAACTCAGACAATGATGAACTTACAGTAGTTTTCTCCAGAATTCCGGGATTCTGTGATTGCGCACACATTTTTATTAGGATCAGAGGTAATTGTGTGGCGTGGCATTACCAACTAAGGCTTAGTCCTTGTCGAGCTGACCTCTCCTCCTGTTGGGTCAGTAGGTCAGAGCCATCATTGTGCATCAGGATTTTAGCAAGAAATTTGCCTTTTTAGGAGTGGGCAGGATAGAGGAGTGAGAATCTGACAGTAGCAGATGATTGGAAGGTCTGTAGAGTGCTTGCTTAGCTCCAAGATTCTTCCTTCTTCTAAATGGACAAGGAGCTATGGGAAAATTAGACATATGGGATGAATTGTCACGTGAGGGAGAACAGTTACTATGTAAGGACTCAGAACCAGAAAGACAAAAACATTTTTTATGTGTATATCATGTAGTGTGCAGTGTCTATAGAGGCCCTGACTGTCCTGGAACTTACTCTGTAGACCAGACTGGACTGGAACTCACAGAGATCCACCTGCCTCTGTCCCTCTGAGTGCCGGGATTAAAGGCACGTATCACCACCGCCCAGCAATATCTCATGTTCTTGAGCATTAGGATAAAGCATGTGTCATGGGGCTAGAGAGATGGCCCAGTGGTTAAGAGCACTGAGTGCTTATCCAGAGGACACAGGTTTGATTTCCAGCCACATGGTGGCTCACAGCTGTCTGTAACTGTAGTCCTGGTGGGATCTAATGCCCTTTTCTGGCCTCTGGGGATACTTAGTATACATCATACACAGATCTATTTGAATAAAACACCCATACACATAAAAACAACAAAACAAAGGCATGTGTCACCATGTCTGGTAGGGGCTCTACTGGGAATTTAACTTGAAATTGCGCTTCTTGAAGCTGGGGCAGTAGCTCAGTTGGTACAGTGCTTGCCTAGTATGTACAGAACTCCGGGTTCAACCCCTGGCACTGTGTAAGACTGGATGTGGTGGCTGGAATTACATGTGTAATCCTAGCACCCTTGTAATCCTAGCACTTGGAGGCAGGAGAATCATATGTTCATTCATGGTCATTCTTGGTTACCTAGTAAGCTCCAAGCCAGCTTGGGCTACGTGAAGCACTATCTCAAAATACTAGAAAAGAAAATATAAAAGAAAAAAGCAATCCTGCTTTCACTTCCCAAATTCTGAGATTATAGATGTGCATTACTGTACCTGGAGGTGTGGGGCACTTGTGCATGTCAGGCAAGTCTTTTTTTTATAGATAGAGTCTCACGATGTAGCCCTGGCTGGCCGGCCTTGAACTTACAGAGATCCACCTGTCTGCTTCTGGAGTGCTGAGATTAATGGAGTATGCTGCAACACTGACTGGCAAGTGTTGTGCCTCGTGGCCTACTCTCCTAGCACCTTGAACTCATGACCCTCCTCCAGTCTTAGCCTCTGAGGTATAGACGTGTCACAATGTTTGACTTAGATTTTTTTGTTTAGACTGATAATTGGAACATGCTGTTAAATTTAAGTCAGGAAGTTGGGTTAATTGATATTATAGCTCTTACAGGTCTCATGCTTATAAGTAATGTGCTGTCTTTGAATCTTGCCTACAAACCTGTCGTTACTATATATATATTTTTAAGTTTTATGGAGATGAGTTTTTAGTGAATTCTAGAGATTTATAAATTCTGCCTGTTGATAGATTATCTTTTATTTCATGTTCTTAATTTTTTTATTAATATCCTGTATTTAAAAGATTATAATTTTCACGCTTCTCTTTGTATTTACTCCCACATAGTATGAAATTAATCTTTTGGAGCTGATCCAGAGAAGAAGAGCAGTAAGTTGATTTTTTTTTTTTTTTGGTTTTGGTGCCTGTCTTGGATCTCGCTCTGTAGACCAGGTTGGCCTCAAACTCACAGAGATCTGCCTGGCTCTGCCTACCGAGTGCTGGGATTAAAGGCGTGTGCCAGCACCACCTGGCGATGTTTAATTTTTTAAGTTGGTTTTTCTGTTGTGGAGGCAGTGATTGTTGATAACCTATGCTGTGCCCAAAGTGGATCCTTGTAGTTGTCTGTTTTGTTTTTTTGTTTGTTTGTTTTTTGTTTTTGTCAGTACTGAGTGTGAGTACCTGAGAATGCTATTTGCTATTTTGGATAAATGTGATTAACTGAGGCTTCGTTTTTGTTTTCGTTCCTTTTAGAGAATTAAATATTCATTTAAGAAGGATGAGATTGAATATTCTATTGTACATCGGGTACAGGGTGTCTTCGGTCGTGCTTCGGCAAAGTGGAAAGTAAGTGATGAGTGCATACTTGAAGAGACGTGAAGATACACAGTATGCGTATTATGAGTTAGATGTTTGGCTACTCAAATGCCATGTTCTCTCTGTTCCTCTCTAGTTCTCAATATTTATTTGCATAATGGTGCCATTGCTTGAAACAGGTTTTGAGCCACATAAACCATTAAGAGAGTTCATCTTATCATTTTATTGTTATTCTGTGAGGATGACACTGAACACTGTATTTAATACATTATTAGGGATTAGAAAATCAAAAGGGTCAGGTGGTGGTGATGCATGCCTTTAATCCCAGCACTCGGCAGGTGGATCTCTGAGTTCGAGGCCAGCCTGGTCTACAGAGTGAGTTCCAGGACGGCTGTTATATAGAGAAACCTTGTCTTAAAAAAAAAAGAAAAGACAATCAAAAGAGAGCTGGGCATGGTGGTGCACACTTTTGGGTGTTTTGGGTTTTTTGTTTTTTCGAGACAAGGTTTCTCTGTGTAGTTTTTGCCTATCCTGGAACTCACTCTGTAGCCCAGGCTGGCCTCGAACTCTCAGAGATCCACCTGGCTCTGCCTCCCAAGTGCTGGGATTAAAGGTGTGCACCACCACCGCCCGGCTAGGGTATTTTATTTGTGAAAAAGAAGGTCTGTCTAGCTTGGGATACATGAAACACTATCAGAGAGAAGACAGTAAAGAAAATCACCAGGGAGATGGATGATGGCTTAGAGATGGGTGGTACCTCAATGAGTTGATGTTCAGATTTTGATGTGTATATATATGTGTATATATATGTGTATATATATGTGTATGATGTATTGTGTGTGTGTGTGTGTATATATATATATATATATATATATATATATACACACACACACACACACACACACGAGTATGTATGAGAATGGAAAGTTTGTGTTTCTTTACCTGGTTTGAGAAGTTTTTAGAATTTCACTGGACAAATTAGGTAAGTGTAGATTTTGTCTTGGAACATGGTAGGTAGGAGTAGAGAGTTAGATTGAATTCTCATGTTTAAGAGGTCCAAGGCTTCAGTGAGGAAGACGCTCATAAATGAAGAACGTGTGGCACATTGGATCTTTTGAAATTTGCCTCTTTCAACGAAGTGAACTAATACAATGTAAAGATCAAATTCAAGTTTCTTATCCTGTGCTTTTCTTGCAGGATGATGTTCAGCTTTGGCTATCCTATATAGTTTTTTGTAAGAAATGGGTAAGTAAAGCCACGTGTAGCTTCTTCTTCCCTTTCTGCAATTTGTATCTTAAGCTTCATTCAGGAGGTAGAAGCATAACAGTTGGAGAAAGAACCCAGGGAAACAGGAGCTGAGCCTCAGTCTCACATTTGTGTATCTGACCGTGTAAATGATTCTGAGTCAGTTGATTCTTAGTCAGTTGAAAAGAAAATCATTTTTATACATATTTGTTCAGTTAAGAAAAAAAATTAGAGCCAGGCGGTGGTAGTGCACACCTTTAATCCTAGCACTCGGGAGGCAGAGGCAAGTACATCTCTGAGTTTGAGGCCAGCTTGGTCTACAAAGTTAGTTCCAGGAGAGCCAGAGCTGCTACACAGAGAAACCCTGTCTCAAAAACCAAAAACCAAACCAAACCAAAACAAAAATTAGTGCTAGAAAGTTGTGTTTAGTGGTTCAGGTATAAAAAGCATGAGTGTGTTTTTATTTGTTGTTATGTCTCAAGCAGTAGCAGATATTTTCTATTGAGTGTGTGCATGCGTGTCTCACTATGTAGTCCTAGCTGGCCCGGCTGATTTTCAGCTCACAATGATCCATCTGCCTCTGCTTCCTGAGCTCTGAGTTTAAGGTGTGAGCCACCATACCTGGCCTTACCATTGGATTTATAGTTAGTAAGAAATATATATTGCTAACAGATGAATAGCAGTGATTTCTCTGTGCAGGAAGTAGAGTGTTTTCTCCTCTTTTACAGGGTACCAAAGCTCAGCTTAGCAAGATATTCTCTGCCATGCTTGCCATTCACTCAAACAAACCAGGTATATCAAAATCTTCAACAGTTCTTTTTCTACATATTTATTCAAACTCAGGCCATCTTGGAATTTACTGTGCTCGATGAACCTGGGAAATTGTTCGGCGGGCTTGAGCTTAGACAGTTGCTGCGTCTTAGTTTATCCCGCTGGCTTTGTCCATCTTGTTGCTGTGCCAGCTGTTGCAGTTGTGGACAGGAAGGATGGTGTATCTTTTTAGCTGATAGTTCCGTGGGACACATTTTATTTGGAGGCAGTAGATTCTGAGCAATTCGAAAAGTTAGAAGGACAAAATATTAACATAGATTTATAAGGTTGGCTGGCACAAAGTGTGTACTCATTTTTTTTTCCTCCAAGACAAGGTTTCTCTTTGTAGCCCTAGCTGTCCTGGAACTCACTCTGTAGACCAGGCTGGCCTCGAACTCACAGAGATCCACCTGCCTCTGCCTCCTGTGCTGGGTTTAAAGGCGTGTGCCACGACTGCCTGGTCTGTACTAGGGTTTTATAAGAGAAACATTCTCGTGTGAGTGGTGAGTAAGGGGCATCCGCTTGTCTAGCACAGGTGCTCTAGTAATTGTTCTCACGGTATTAGATTCAACCAAAGGTTTATATGACACAAGACTCAAGTGATCTTAGCAATTTGCAGGACTAAAAGTCAGTGTGATTCCTAAGTTGAGGTTTCTGGAGGGACTACATGAGTGGGAAGGGGAACTACTTTGGTAACTTGTGGGTGCAGGAGATTCTGGAAAGATCCATGTCCAGTTTTAGGAGTCACATGCTCAAGAGTGCTAAAAGCAATGGCTTACCACCGTTTGTGACTCCAAGGAAGTCCAGATGTGATTACCAACCAGGGGTCACTTTTACTAAAAGCAGTCTTGCTTTTTGCAGAGTTGGTGGCCAAACCCAGGGACTTTGTGCATTATAGGCAATGTTCTCTTGCCGAGCTGTTCCCCAGCCCTCTCTTTCTAATTAAAACTTTTAAGCCGGGCGGTGGTGGCGCACGCCTTTAATCCCAGCACTTGGGAGGCAGAGCCAGGCGGATCTCTGTGAGTTCGAGGCCAGTCTGGGCTACCAAGTGAGTTCCAGGAAAGTCGCAAAGCTACACAGAGAAACCCTGTCTCGAAAAACCAAAAAAAAAAAAAAAAAAAACTTTTAGGAGGCAGAGCCAGGCGGATCTCTGTGAGTTCGAGGCCAGCCTGGTCTACAAGAGCAAGATCCAGTATAGGCACCAAAACTACACAGAGAAACCCTGTCTCGAAAAACCAAAAAAAAAAAAAAGTACATCATTTCTTTATTTCGTGTATGTGTGAGCCATATGTGTATATGTGTGGGCATGTGTATGCCTTGGCACATTATGTAAAGTTTAGGGGAAAATTTGTGGGAACTAGTTCTTTTTCTCCACTATGTGGGTCCTGGAGATCCAACTCAGGTCATTAGATTGATGACAAGCACCTTTGCTGATGAACTAGCTTACCAGCCCTTTTTCTAGCTTTAGATAGAGTCGCCAAATTTAGTATTAGAAACTCCCTTTTCCTTTGGTAAGATTAATCAATAACTCATTAAGTATTAAAAGTAGAGTATTGAGGGGTCGGGGCGGGGGGGGAAAAAAAAAAGTAGAGTATTGATTAATTTACAAAAATCAAGTCTGATTTTTCTTTCTTTCTTTCTATAGCTTTGTGGATTATGGCAGCCAAATGGGAAATGGAAGATCGCTTGTCTTCAGAAAGTGCCAGACAGTTATTTCTTCGGGCTCTACGATTTCATCCTGAGTGTCCAAAACTCTATCAAGAAGTGAGTATTTGGGCATATAGGATAAGAGAGCGATATCTCTGTGACACTTAGAGAGGGAGATATCTCTGTGATACTTAGAATGAGAGAGATATCTCTATGACACTTAGAATGAGAGAGACATCTCTGTGATACTTAGAGAGGGAGATATCTGTGACACTTAGAATGAGAGACATCTCTGTGATACACAGAGAGCAAATACTGCTTAAAATGTAATTATTCCTTCTCTGCTTCTGTTTCCTTTTTTTTCTCCCTCATGGTAATTGTGTTTTGTGAAAATCCTGTTGCTACTTTAAAAAAAAATAATTTACTTTTATTTTATATGTATTGGTGTTTTGCCTGCATGTATGTCTGTGTAAGAGAGATCTTGGAATTACAGACAGTTGTGAACTGCCATGTGGGTGCTGGGAATTGAACCTGGTCCTCTGGCAGAACAGCATGTGCTCTTAACCACTGAGCCATCTTTGCAGCATTGTTTTGTTGCCACTTTTTTTTTTTTTTTTTTTTTTTTTTTTTGGTTTTTCGAGACAGGGTTTCTCTGTGTAGCTTTGCGCCTTTCCTGGAACTCACTTGGTAGCCAGGCTGGCCTCTGCCTCCCGAGTGCTGGGATTAAAGGCGTGCGCCACCACCGCCCGGCTTGTTGCCACTTTTAAAAGCAAAGTAGAGGAACTGGAGAGATGACTCAGCAGTTACCAGCACTGGCTGCTTTTGCAGAGGATCTAGGTTCTATTCCCACCACCATCTGTTGGCTCACAATCATCTGTAACTCCAGGGGATCTGGCTCTCCTTACCTCCAAGAGCACCAGGTGGTGCACAGAGATACGTGTAGGCAAAACACCCATACACAAAAAATATAATTAAATTTAAAAAGACCAAAAAAAGTAGAGTGACATTAAAATTTCTTAGTTAATTTTTTTTCTTTCTTTTTTTGAAATAGTCTAGATATGTAGCCCTGGCTGTCCTGGAACTCTTTATGTAGACCAGGCTTGTCTCAAACTCAGAAAGATCAGCCTGCTTCTGCCTTCCAAGTGCTAGAATTAAAAGTGTGTGCCACCATGCCCTACTATTTTATTTTATGTGTATGAGTGTTTTTCCTGCATATAAGTGTGGGTGCCACTTTCATGTGTGGTGTCTGAGGAAACCAGAATACGGCATCAAATACCCTGCAACTGGAGTTAGAGACGGTTGTGAGCAGCCATATGGGTGCTGAGGATCAAAGCTGGGTCCTCTGTAACAAGTACTCTAAACTGTTGAGCCATCTCTCCTGCCCAAATATGACTACTTTCTCTTTCCCTTCTCTTTTCCCTTCCCCTTCCCTTTCTGAGGTAGGGTCTCTACAGAACCCTGGTCATTCCTGAACTCACTACATAGACCAGGCTATCCTTCAGTTCACAGAGATTCACCTCCCTCTGTCTCTCAAGTGCTGGGATCAAAGGCGTGAGCCCCTGCACCCTGCAGTTACTGTTTTATTGTCCTGACAAAATACCATGACCAAAGGAATTTATAAAAGAAAACATTTAGTTTAGGGATTCATGGTTCCAGAGGGTTAAAATCCATGACCATCATTGCAGGGAGCATGGCAACAGGCAGGCATACATGGTGCTGGAGCAGTATCTGAGAGCTTACATTTGATCTACAAGTGTGATGCAGAGAGAGAGCGCTAGTTGGGAATGACGTATGCTTTTGAAACCTCAAAGCCCACCCACCTGTGGGACGTTTACCCACCAACCCCACAGCTCCCCAGAGTTTTCTTGAGTGTGAGCAGCAGAAATATTAGATAGAAGGATTTATTGCGGAGAATCTTGCAGAGATAAATAGATAGAAAATAAAGGATAGCCTCGAGAGGGCCTGGAACCTTTTCTAGTGGGCCCCAACTGTCTCTGCTCCAGGGTATTTATAGAGATGCCAGGGGGTGGAGCAAAAGACCTCCTCCCCCAGCACAGCCAAGTGCAGACCATCTCAGATACCTGCACTCAGGCCCGTGGTCCTAATCATCCTCTATGCGGACATGCTGGGTAAAGTCATGAGGAACCTGAAAATGGGCTCCCACACCCACCCTAACTAAGTACACACCTCTTCTAACAAGGACACACCTTCTAACCTTTCCCAAACAGTTCTACCAACTGCGGACCAAGCATTCAAATGCATGAACCTGTGGGGGCCATTCTCATTCAAACCACCACCCTAAAGAAATGACAATTTTCGTTTAGTAAACATATTCTCATATGGCTCTGCTTCTTTGTTGCTACATGGGATAGAAATCTCGGTTACCCACTTAACCTTTGTGGATACTTTTTACTATATATGGATAAGATTAAATGAAATGCTTGCAGGAACTTCCATTAAGTCTTTTCACTCATACACTTAGATTACATGTCAAATGATCTCTTAAAATAATCTCTTCCATCACACATTGTCAATATCAGCTGGTTTCATCCCAACGTAAAATATGGTCCTCCGTTTTTCTATATCTGATACTGATGAAGGCATCTTGAATATTTTTAATTTAAAGAGCATCTTTAAGGGCTTCTAGGTCATTATTTCCTTTTTGTAGTACTTTAGGATGGAGCTGATGCATGCTGAGAAACTGAGAAAGGAAAAGCAGGAATTTGATAAAGCTGCCATGGATATGGTAAGAGCCTAATGTACTATCAAGTGTTAGTCTTTTGAGCCTGCTTACAAATAAAAGAAGAATTTTTGAGGTATATGTATTTTTTCCAATTTAATGTCACATTTTTCACTTATAGATGAATTTGTAATTTGTAATTTACTTGAATTTTTAGAATTACATTTTGTGTGTGTGTGTGTGTGTGTGTGTGTGTGTGTGTGTGTGTGTGTGTGTGTATGTTATGGTGCTTGTGTGGAGGTCAGAGGACAGCTTGAGGGTGTCGGTTTCCTCTTTTTACCACATGGATCCTTTTTCCCACTGAGCCATCTTGCTGGCTCAAACCTGGAACTCTTAGTCCTCCTGCCTCAGCCTTCTAAGAGATGAGATTACAGGTGTGCTCTACCTTCTCAGGCTCTTTTCCTTTTTATATAATTTGAAATGTGACAGAATAACTTTAAAGAATAAGCTTTGAATGTTAGAACTGGTATTATGGGACATACCTGTAATCTTAGTATTTGTGAATCTGAGCCTGGAGGATTATGAGTTCCAGGCCATCTTGGCCTACATAGCAAGACCCTGTCTTCAAAATATAAAACAACAAAACAGAAACAGAAAAAGGAACTTGCTGTACTGTTACTGTATTTCTAGCTCAGAACTTTGTGTGTAGGTGAGGCATGCATGTGTGGTATATGCTTATGTGTTTGTGAGGGACTACAAGAGTGCATGTGTATGTACATATGGTAGCTAAAGATTGATGTGTGTCTCTCAATTGCTTCTCTACCTTATTTTACTTTTTTTTTTTTTTTTTTTTGGTTTTTCAAGACAGGGTTTCTCTGTGTAGCTCTGCGCCTTTCCTGGAATTCGCTTTGGAGACCAGGCTGGCCTTGAACTCACAGAGATCCGCCTGGCTCTGCCTCCCGAGTGCTGGGATTAAAGGTGTGCGCCACCACCGCCCGGCTTATTTTACTTTTTAATTACATTGGAAAATACTGTTTTGGGGGGGGGGAGCGGGGGGGGGGGGGCACATGTCATGATAAGTATGTGGAGGTCAGAGGACAACTTGCAGGAGTTGGTTCTGTCCTCCATCAAATGGGCCCTGGGAATCCCTCTCCGGTGGGTCAGGTTGGCAGCAGGCACCTTTACTCGCTGAGCCGTCTCACCAGCCCTTATTTGCTTTTTAAACTACATTTATGTATTTGTGTCCACAGTGCACCGTGGAGGTCAGAGATGACTAGAGGAGTTGGTTCTCCCCTTCCATTATTTATCTCAGAGATCCAGCTCAGGTCATCAGACTCGGCAGCAGGATCTTTATGCATGAAACCATCTCACTGGCCCTTGTTAAAATGGAAAAACAATTATTATTTTTCATTTGTTTAATTGTTTTTTTTTTTTTTTTTTATGGTTTTTCGAGACAGGGTTTCTCTGTGTAGCTTTGCGCCTTTCCTGGAACTCTCTCTGTAGCCCAGGCTGGCCTCGAACTCACAGAGATCCACCTGGCTCTGCCTCCCGAGTGCTGGGATTAAAGGCGTGTGCCACCACCGCCCGGCTGTTTAATTGTTTTTGAGACAGGGTCTCATTATGTGGCTCTGCCTAGATCTCTTTTATGTTGACCAGGCTGGCCTTGAACTCATAGGGACCCACTTGCCCCTGCCTCCTGAGTGCTGGGATTAAAGCTGTGCCTAGCTGTAAGATACTTTCATTCATCTGTTTGTGTGTGTGTTGGGGGTGGGCACATAGGTATGTGTGTGGTGGTCAGAGGACAACTTGTAGGAGTTGGTGTTCTCCTTTTACCTATACTGGTAGTCTAGGATAGTTAATTTCCATCCTGGTGGGTTTGTTTGTTTGTACTCCCTGGTACTGTCTTTTCAATTATGGTTGATGTAACACTTTGTAGGGGAATTTTGAGCATCCTGAAGAAATCCTTAAGGGCGAGTTGGCACGCATCATTTACAAAAATTCTGTAAGCAAGATTAAAGGTAAGAATCCTCTGGATATTTTTTTTTTTTAGGCATTCTCTTTGTGATGAGAAGGACTATTAGCTTGTAGGCAAAATGTACTGTATCCTTCAGAAAAAGCTTCCTTCTGAGCTATCATCGGGCATTTCAATAAGGTTTTATTGAGTAGTCAACTGACTTGGGGGAGTTAAAAAAGAGTAGATGATTTAATCTTTGTCTTATGCCCTTAAGTTTATGAAACTTAGAAGTATTTAGAAGTATTTCAAAACATTAATAATGTCTTTGTTTATGTGGTAGGGATATAGGATGATATTTCCTCTCTGTTCCATTTAAAATAAAGTCACCACAAGAAGGCTAACTATGGGCATAGCTCAGTGGTACATCATGCATGAGGTCATGGTTCAACCCAGCACCAGGAAAAAAAAAAAGCTTGAGATGGTGCTACCTAACACCTGCTGAGACAGGAGGATCATGAGTTGGAGGCCAGTCTGTGGTGGGGCTTATAGCTCAGTGATAGAGTGCTTGCTTAGCATGCAGAAGACCCTAGGTTTCATCCCTACCGTTAGGACTCAGGGAGGAGTAGAGGCCAGTCATGGCTATATAGTGAAACCCTGTTCAGAGCAAAAGACAACAACTTCCAAAGACTAACTCTAACACATAAAGAAAACAGTACTTTTTGAGTAAAGTCTGTCTTTACAATTTAAATACCAGCAAACTTCCCTTGATTTTTTAAAATTTTAGGTGCAGAATTTCATGTATCACTTCTTTCAATTGCACAACTATTTGATTTTGCCAAGGATCTGCAAAAAGAAATTTATGATGAGTAAGTAAAACAGTGGTAAGGTGAACATGTCTATTTCTGTCTTGTGATAAATAAAGACTTGAGTCTGGGGAGGAGTGAAGAAGAATATATACCTGTCGGTGGTGGTGCACACCTTTAGTCCCAACACTTGGGAGGCAGAGGCAGGTAGATCTCTGAATTTGAGGCCAGCCTGGTCTACAGATCGAGATCCAGGACAGGCACCAAAACTACACAGAGAAACCCTGTCTCGAAAAACAAAACAAAATAACAAAAACCATATCCTAAAAGCTTATGTCAATACACATTCTTCTTTTCTGCAAAATCAGAATTGTATTCATAACTCATTATAGCTTAGTGATGTTGATAATTTAAGCTGTAGTGTCTGGTTCTGCTATTTAAGAATTATTTGCCCAGCACTCGGGAGGCAGAGCCAGGCAGATCTCTGTTAGTTCTAGGCCAGCCTGGTCTACAGAGTGAGATCCAGGACAGGCACCAAAACTACACAGAAAAACCCTGTCTCGAAAAACAAACAAACAAAAATTATTTTGTGTGTATTAGTTAATTTTTGTGCTGTGATGAAATGCCATGACCAAGAACAACTTACAAAAGAAAGAGTTTATTTTAGCTTATGGTTGCAGAGGGCTAGAGTCTATAATGGTGGGCAATACATGGCATGCTGATATGAGCAGGAAGCTGGCTGGATCACATCTTTACCTGCACACAGGAAGTGGAGTGAGTGGATGTGGAGTATGGCTATAAACCCACATATCCTGCCTTCAGTGATATCCTTTCTCCCACAAGCTATACTTTCTTAAGATTCCATAACTTCCCTAAACAGTGCTTCAAAGTAGAGGCCACGTGTTCAAATCTATGGGCCTTTGGGAGGAGTGTTTCACATTCAAACCATTGATAGTGATTACATTAGGTACTTCCGTTCTTAGGTTCCATTTCTGGGGTCATGGGAGATAAGGTAGAACATGCATCAGTTTGTTCTTTGGATGTCTTCAGGGTTTTGGTAGAGGATTAGATTGTGCTTTTTCTCTGCCTCTGTTTGAAGAATTCAAGAGCCCAGGCTCTTTAAGCTTCTATGGTCGAAGGTAACTACTGATCTGATTTGGAGAGCTATCGTGATTTTTTTTTTTTTTTTCATTTTGAGATAGGTTTCTTTTTGTACTCCTGGCTATTCTGGAACTAGCTTTATAGACCAGGCTGGCCTGAAACTCACAGAGATCCACTTACCTCTGCCTTCCAGGTGCTTGAATTAAAGGTGTGCACCACCACTGCACAACTTGAGCTGTTATAATTTTTTTTAAAGATTTATTAATTTATGTGTATGGGTGTTTTGTCTGCGTGTTCGTCTATACACCAGAAGAGGGCATATTAATTCATGAGGACTACAATTATAGATGCTTGTGAGCTGCTACATACATGCTGGGAATTGAACTCAGGACCTCTAGAAGAGCAGCTGGTGCTCTTAACCACTGAGCCATCTCTTCAGCCCCCAAGCTATTATAATTTTTTTTTTTTGGTTTTTTTTTTTTTTTTTTTTTTTTTTTTTTTGGTTTTTCGAGACAGGGTTTCTCTGTGTAGGTAGCTTTGTGCCTTTCCTGGAACTCGCTTTGGAGACCAGGCTGGCCTCGAACTCACAGAGATCCGCCTGGCTCTGCCTCCCGAGTGCTGGGATTAAAGGCGTGCGCCACCACCGCCCGGCTTTTTTTTTTGGTTTTTTGAGACAGGGTTTCTCTGTGTAGCTTTGCGCCTTTCCTGGAACTCGCTTTGGAGACCAGGCTGGCCTCGAACTCACAGAGATCCACCTGGCTCTGCCTCCCGAGTGCTGGGATTAAAGGCGTGCGCCACCACCGCCCGGCTGCTATTATAATTTTAAAGTTAATATTTGTTGGGGTTATGTTCCTATTTATTTTTATTTATTTATTTAAAGCAGGGTCTGGAACTCACTATGTAGCCCAGGCTGGCCTTGAATTTGTGGGAATCACTGTGCCTCAGGCTTCTGAATGCTGGGATTACAGGCTTGTGCCACCATGTCCAGCTCAAAGTTAACATTTGTAAATGATGCCTGAAACATTCTGAAATCTAATTGATATATAACAACTCTGTTCCATTGATAAGTCTATATGTTATGCTATTCTGGAAAGCCTATCAGGAAATTACTGTTGTGGTGGTGCAGCTGTAAAAGGGTATCCCATGTCCTTTATAGTAGACCATCAGAACTTTGTTATTCTGGAATTAGTTTCTTATCATGGGACAGGTGCCAGTGAGCTGTCATTTTCAGCCTTCAAGCTCTGCACACCGATGACCCATTCACTTGGGATTATGTGGCACGGCGAGAATTAGAGATCCAGTCTCAACCAGGTGAAGAGCAGCCTGTATCGAAACAAGCCAAAGCAGTGGAAGTGGGCCGAAGGGAGGAACGGTGCTGTGCAGTGTACGAAGAGGCTGTGAAGACCCTGCCTACGGGTGAGTCTGTCTTGTGGTGTAAGAGTCCGTGAATGGGAAACTGACATTCTCATTGTCAACACTTAAATTGGGATGGGAAGTCTCCCTATTGAGGCATATAGCTCAGTGGTGGAGTACTTACCCAGCAAGCATGTGCCCCAAGTTCTGTCCCCACTAGAAGAGAAAAAAAGGAAGAAAATCTCAGTAGAGGAGTTTACAGTGTGCCTGGCTTTCTTTTTCTTCCCTTAAATTAAAAAGGTAATTACATGTATTATTTATTGTGTGTGTATATGTGTGTGAGTGCATGCCACAGCATACATTTGGTAGTCAGAGGACAACTTACTAGAGTGGGTTCTCTCCTGATACGTGGGTACTACCTAGGAAGTGGGCTGAGGTCATCAGGCTTGGCGTCAAGAGCCTTTATCTGTTGAACTGTTTTGCTAGCCTCTTTATACCCCCTTTTCTTTTTTGAGACAAGATCTCATGTATTCCAGGCTATCCTCAATCTATCATATAAGCCATGATGACCTTGAACTTCAGGACCAGTATGTGTGGTGCCTCACATATGCTAGACAAACATTCAATCACCTGAGCTATATTATTAACCCTATATGCCTCTTTCTGGTTGCTCCCTCTGTGATGATGAAAAACTAGAGTTTTTCATGATGAGAGTTCATGTAACCCGGGCTGGCCTTGAACTCCCGACCCACCTGCCTCTGCCTCCTGTGTGCTGGGATTATAGGTGTGTGCTAGAGTTTTTATGACTTCTTCAGCAATAGAGGTATTTAGGCTCATCTGTTTGGCATCCATACTCAAGGGATGGAGGTGTAGCTCATTTGGAAAGTGCTGTCACAGAGCACATGAAGCCCTGGGTTTGATCTCCAGCACTGTAACAAACTGCAAATGCTGGCGCATACTTATAATGCACCTTGGAGGTGACGATGGGAAGATCTGAAGGTCAAGGTTATCCTTAGCTATATAGTGAGTTTGAGGCCACTCTAGGCTGCATGAGACCCTGTCTCAAAAACAAGTAAGCCAACCCCTGAACCCCAAGAGATTATAATTGTTTAAGTATTATCCTGTATCTTTTTTCTTTTTCTTTTTTTCTTTTTCTTTGTGTGTGTGTGTGTGTGTGTGTGTGTGTGTGTGTGTGTGTGTGTGTGTGTGTGTTTTAGTTGGGGAGACAGGGTCTCACTATGTAGCCCTGGCTGGCCCAGGACTTCTCAGGTAGGCCAGCCTCAAACTCACAGAGATCTGTCTGCTGGGATTAAAGGTGTGAATCACTACATGTGGCTTCATCTTGTATCTTTCCTTAGAGATTACATTCTTGTTTGGTAATATTGGAAATAAAGGCAGTGGAGATAGCCAGCCTAGTCAAGGATTTTGAGTTTATGTCCTTGCTCAGTTGATTTTCCCCAATATCTGATGTTTGATTCTCTATAATGGGAGTAGCATTGTTGTTTTAGCTAGGTTAATGTAAACTTTTCTTTTGCTTTTTGTTTTTGTTTTTTGTTTTTTGTTTTTCAAGACAGGGTTTCTTTGTGTATCCTTGACTGTCCTGGAACTCGCTCTGTAAACCAGGCTGGCCTGGAACTCACAGATCCATCTGCCTTCTGCCTCCTGAGTGCTGGGATTAAAGGAATGAGCCACTAAGCCTGGCTTAAACTTTTTTGTTTGTTGTTTTGTTTTTTGTTTTTTGTTTTTCGAGACAGGGTTTCTCTGTGTAGCTTTGCGCCTTTCCTGGAACTTGCTTTGTAGACCAGGCTGGCCTCGAACTCACAGAGATCCTACTGGCTCTGCCTCCCGAGTGCTGGGATTAAAGGCGTGCACCCGAGTGCTGGGATTAAAGGCATGTACCACCAACTCCCGGCTAAACTTTGTTTTTTTTTTTTTTTTTTTTTTTTTTTTTTTTTGGTTTTTCGAGACAGGGTTTCTCTGTGTAGCTTTGCGCCTTTCCTAGAACTCACTTGGTAGCCCAGGCTGGCCTCGAACTCACAGAGATCCGCCTGGCTCTGCCTCCCGAGTGCTGGGATTAAAGGCGTGCGCCACCACCGCCCGGCTAAACTTTGTTTTTAAAAACAATTTATTTTTATTATTTTCATTTTATGCGTATGTATTTTGGTCCCTGTGAATGAATAATGTCACGTGTGCTGGTGTCCACAGAAGCCAAAAGAGGTGGTCTGATCCCTTGGAGCTGGAGTTACAGGTGGTTGTGAGCCACCCAGTTTGGATGTTAGGATCCTAACTCAGGTCCTCTGGAAGAGCAGCAAGTACTCTGAACCACTGGGGCATTTTCAGCTGTTGACTTAAACATTCTTCTAGAGCAGTTTCCCTTTGAAAGGAAGATGTTTGGACTAAGAGGATGGTGAGCTCATTGATGTCATCTGACTTTTCCAGAGGCTATGTGGAAGTGTTACATCAACTTTTGCTTGGAAAGGTTTTCTAAGAAGACCAGTAGTGTACCCCTCAGAGGGCAGGTAAGGATTTCCATTGTATAACTACAGTGGTTGGTTAGAAAGTGTCCACTAGACAGGGGCAGAGTTCTTTTGGGGTCTGGGCCAGCTTCCAGAATTTCAAACTTAGCCACTCGATTTTTCACTGTGGGCGACCTGTCTGCTTTGCCCCATTCTGGGTATATGATAGGAGGGCTTTCTGCTGATTGGGCTGTGCCAAGTGCAGAGGCATAGCTCATCTCATCATGAGTGACACCCATTCGGAACTGAGCCCCATCTCTGAATTCTTAGAAACGTGCAAGAGCTCTTTGCCCAGATCAGTGGCCAGAGACCCCTGCTGGATTCTGTTTAATGACCCCAGATGTTTCTGATTTCAGAGGCTGGAAAGAACCATGTTTGCATTCAGGAAGGCCCATGAACTGAAGCTCCTTTCTGAAGTCCACTACAAGCAGTGGGTAAGGCCATAGGAAGCACATTCATTGCCCGTTACCTATGCTTCATTCTGATTTAACATCGAGGACACCAGAACAGGAAAGTCAGAGAGAGCCTGCTCGGCATCCCCTCCCCTTTCTCCTTTCCTCCCTTACATGTCTCCTCTCTTCTCTTACACATCCCCGTCCCCACATTTTTAAAGGATTTTTTTTTTTTTTTTTTTTTTTTTTTTTTTTTTTTGGTTTTTCGAGACAGGGTTTCTCTGTGTAGCTTTGCGCCTTTCCTGGAACTCGCTTTGGAGACCAGGCTGGCCTCGAACTCACAGAGATCCGCCTGGCTCTGCCTCCCGAGTGCTGGGATTAAAGGCGTGCGCCACCACCGCCCGGCTAGGATTTTTTTGTTTTGTTTTTTGAGACAGGGTTTCTCTGTGTAGCAGTCCTGGCTGTCCTGGAACTCTCTCTGGAGACCAGGCTGAACTCAGAGATCTGCCTGTCTCTGCCTCTTGAGTGCACCACCACTAACCGGCGAAGGATTTCTTTTTTATTTTATGTGTTTGAGTGTTTTGCCTGCACATATGTATGTATAACATGTATGTGCAGGCTGGAAGAGGGTTTTGGATCTCATGGAACTGGAGTTATAGATGGTTGTTTACGACACGTGGGTGCTGAGAATTGAACCCGGATCCTCTGGAAGAAAAACTGTTGCTCTTAACTGCAGGGCCTTCCGTCCAGCCCTTCTCTCTTCTGTCCTTTCCATTCAGCTTCTCTCCCTTCCTCTACCTCTCTCTTCTCCTTCCCTCTGCTCCCTGTCCTTCCTGGGTCCCTCCCTTCCATCGTCCTTCCTCCCACCTTCTCCTCCTCAGGCCCTTCCCCTCCCCTCCCCTCCCCTTCTCCCCTCCCTCTGCTCTCCCTCCTCCTCCGCTCACCTCTGCAGTGTTGGTGCTGTGGCCCCAGTGCTGGGGAGGCGGAGACAGGCAGGCTCCCTGGAGCTCATCTCTCCAGTGCAGCTGCTTAGAGGGGCCACAGTTCAGCGAGAAGCACTGTCTCAGAACATGAGGTGAGGGCCAGGAGATGGCTCGGCCGGTACGTGCTTGCTGTACAAGTGTCGGAACCAGGGTTTGGATCCCCAGCACCTACGTACATGCCTGGAATTCTAGTGTGCTTAGGGGAAGACAGGATGCCCAGAGGAACCTGGCTAGTTAGATTAGCTGTGAGGTGAGCTCTGGGTTTAGAGCTGTGAGGTGAGACCCTGCCTTAGTGAATGAGGTGGAGAGATATGGTTGAAGCTAATATCAGCCTTGGACCTCCATATGCACAAGTACACTATGCATGTGCGCCAGCATGTATATATGTACCCACATACATGTGAGCACATACATATATACACATCACACACATAGATACATGCAAAAAAAAGAGAGAATAATTGTAGAAAGCACCCAAATCAACCTCTGGCTTCTATGTGCGTGCACACACACACACCTATATCAAAATGCACATGTGTACACTCATACAAACTCACATGTGTAACTTAAACACACAAATAAATGTAAAAATCACAAGATTATTCTGTATTATCTCATAGTCTTTTGGGTAAAGTTATTCAAACTTTTTTTAAAAAATTTATTCTAACTTCTTACTTTGATTTTTGCTTATATGTCCAGAAACATCTACTTTAGTCTTCTCTTTGGCATCCCACCCTCCAGTCATGCCAAACATGAATTTCTTCTCATGCTAAGCCGTCTCTGTGCAAACTGGTTGGAGAGCCTTGACTTTTCCGGTTCTGTGTTTCCCTGTCTTCCTGTTTCTCCTTAAGTCTGAGCTTGACTGCTTCCTTTCCTGAAGTCTCCCTGCCATACACAGTGCTGGTCCTTCTGCCCTGCACTCCTGTAGCAGGTGGTTCCTTTTCTGTGTGCCACAGAGCTCGTGAGCTTGGAAGCTCTGTGGGCAGGGAGGAATGTCTGATTTGCTCAGTATTGAATTTGGCCTTTAACGATGCATAGTAAATGTACTTGCTGAAGAAACTAGTTACAAACTGCTATTCATTGTTTTTTTTTCACAAGATTGTAAAATTAGACTGATACTAGTTTTTTCCCCCTGTAATAAACTAGTATGGATACAAGTATTTTTTTTTTTTTGGTTTTTCGAGACAGGGTTTCTCTGTGTAGCTTTGTGCCTTTCCTGGGACTCACTTGGTAGCCCAGGCTGGCCTCGAACTCACAGAGATCCGCCTGGCTCTGCCTCCCGAGTGCTGGGATTAAAAGCGTGCGCCACCACCGCCCGGCGGATACAAGTATTTTGAACAGATAAGATTTTCTTTCTTTTTTTTGGGGGGGGGTCATTATTTTTTAAAGTAAAATCTAAGACAACACTTCCATGATTCTTTGTTTTGTATATTTGTTTTAAAGACTATTTTTATGTGTGTGAGTGTTTTGCCTGCATGTACATCTTTACATCACATGTGTACCTGGTGCCTTAGGAAGCCAGAAGAGGGTGTTGGATCCCCTGAGACTGGGCTATATACTGTTGTGAGCCGAATGTGGGTACTGGGAATTGAACCCAGGTCTTCTGGAAGAACAGCTACTGCTCTTAATCCCTGAACCTTAACCTGTCCAGCTCCCCCCTCCCCATGATTCTTGTTATATAGTGTCAAATTACGTTTTGAGAAAGTTATACCAGTTAAGTACATTGAATGAATACATTTCCTTTTGAATCTATAGATACTATTTTTACCTTTATTATGCTCTAGTTAGTGGGTATGGGTTCTAGCTTAAATTACTTAGACTCTCTGCTTTTCATCCCTTTTCTGATGAAAGGAATATCATTACTCTGTGTACATATGTGTCATGATACATGTATGAGGAGAGTGTTTTTGGGAGGTGATTCTTCCTTTCAGTGTGGGATCCCAAGAGAGAAAGAACATTCCCTGCTGAGCCATCTCTCTCCTCAGCCCTCCTCTCTGATTTTCTGATAGTCCTATGGGTAGGAGCAGAGGGAGGAGGAGGAATTCTAGTTGCCCTTTGTGCCTCTAGCAGCTATGGTAAAAGGTGTAGTGGGAAGACTGTTGAGATTATTGTTATAAATAGTCTTTATATGCCTCTATTCATATATATCATTTTGCTTTCCAGTGGGGCTTTACAGTGTACTTTGTCTTTGTTAGATTGACTTGTTGCTGCGCCAGGACCTCTTTAAAGAGGCTTTGCAGGTGGCAGAAGATGGGACGGAATTGTTCAAGGACTCTGCAACAATGTGGCAGATGAAGCTGCAGGTGCTCATTGGGTCAAAGAGCCCCGATGTAGCGATGCAGTTTGAAGAAGCCTTTGCACACCTCAAACCCCAGGTCCGTGAAGTCTGTCTTTCATATTTCGTTCTCTTTATTTATTATTTTATGTGTATGAGTGTTTTGCCTGCATGTATGTCTGTGTCTCGTGTGTGTGACTGGTGCCCAAGGAGGTGTTGCACCTCCATGTTGGTGTTAGTGTTGGGTCCTTAGTAACCACAAGTGTTCTTGACCACAGAGCCAACTCTCAGTCCTTATTTTACTCTTTTTGGAAAACTGGTTGGTTTGTTTGTTTTGTTTTTTGCTTAAAAGACGGGGTCTCATGTAGCCCAGGCTGGCCTAAGGAGAACCTTGATCTTTGACTCTTCTGCTTCTGCCTCCTGAGTGCTGGGACTTACAGGCATGCTTCCCCATGTCTGCTTTATCTAGTGCTGGGGACTGAAGCCAGGGCTTCGTGGGCCTAAGCTGAGCTGGATCTCCAGCCCTCTCTGGAAACCTTCTAAGGTTTCAGTGAAAGCTCATTTATAATATATTGTCTAAAGAGAGCAGACCCTGGAATAATTGTTGTTAAATGGTAATAGTTTGAGGATTGAGGAGAAATTACTTCTATGTCTACTCTGTATTTGTAAGTTTATTAATGTAAGATTTCTCATTCTGTTTAAATGTCTTACAAATGAGAAATACTAATAGAATATTCTCACATCTGATCATAAACTCGAAATCACAAAAATCTAAACATTAATGTTTTAAACTTACTTTGTAGAAAATCTTTCTTTTTCTTCTTTTTTTTTTTGGCTCCTCAGGACAGAATGTCTTTACGTATCCTTGGCTGTTGTAGAGCTAGCTCTGTAGACCAGGCCGACCTTAAACTCCAGAGATCTGCCTCCCAAGTGCTGGGATTAAAAGCGTGCGCCACCACTGCCTGAGTAAATCTTTTCTTTAGTGACTGGGAAAATGTACTGCAGAGGGCTGCTGTCTGCCCCTCTCTTCACAGTGAAGATCAGGCAGGCCACCCCAGATCAGTTCTTGTGAAGTAGCTCCCAGACCACAGACTAGTGACCTGGGTTGCTGTGGGGCTGACTGGATGTAGCTTTTCTTCACTTGTTTAACTGAACGATGACTGCTAACGATGGCTATGGTCAGGATCCTCTCAGAATTGGACTAAATTATCGAAGTGTTGCTCTGGGTGACTTGGCTGGGGGCTGCAGTGACCGTCTTCATAGTGATGAGTTTTCAGAGCACAGTGCTGAGAAACTGAGATCTAACAGCTGTCTGTTTGTTTTTGTGAGCAGGTTTGCCTGCCCTTGTGGATTTCTTGGGCAGAGTGGAGTGAAAGTGCTAACAGCCAGGAGGACACTGAAGCAATCTTTAAGGTACAGGCTCCCTCTTCTGGTCCTCGTGGTGCAGGGAGTGGGTGTTTCATATCTCAAGTCTCCACTTACTTAGTGGTTTGGGGTGGGTCTTGGTAACATGTTTTGATGTCACTAAGTTCCTTTACACAGCTTGTCTTTGTTTCTTTTCTTTTAACTGTAGAAAGCTATTTTAGCTGTCACAGGTGCCAATTCAGTAACTCTGAAGGAGAAATACCTGGATTGGGCTTATCGAAGCGGTGGCTACAAAAAGACCAGAGCAGTGTTCAAAAGGTACTCCCAGGTGCTCACAGTGGTTTCTAGTCTTCCTGCCCACACTCAGCCCTTCATACTAAGCCTGTGTGGATTAAAAGTAGTATCTGGAGTGGTAATCAGAGGGACTGTCAAAACTTAACTTCCTCTTTCTTGTTTTGCACAGTTAAAGCAATTCATACACACAGGGGAAATGACAGTTAGCTCATTGATGACTGTAATTGTGTCACTAGTACAAGCAGCTCTGTTAGCAAATCATTTCTTTTTTTTTTTTTTTTTTTGTCTTTTTTAGTTTTTCGAAACCGAGTTTCTATGTGTAGCTTTGCGCCTTTCCTGGAATTCACTCTGTCGCCTAGGCTGACTTCGAACTCACAGAGGTCCGCTTGCCTTTGTCTCTGAGTTCTGGGATTAAAGGTGTGTGCCACCACCGCCTGGCACGAATCATTTCTTTTTAAGGCAGTAGGGATTGAGCTCAGGGCCTTGCACCTAGACAAGGGCTGTACACTGAGCTGTATCTCTAGACTACTGCATTATTTTAGTACTTGTTTCTTTTCTTTTTTTTTTTTCCCCCTCAGTTTTTTGAGACAGGGTTTCTCTGTAGCTTTGGAGCCTGTCCTGGACTAGCTCTGTAGACCAGGCTGGCCTCGAACTCACAGAGATCCACCTGCCTCTGCCTCCCAATGCTGGGATTACAGGCGTGCGCCACCATCACCTGGCAACTTGTTTCTTATATAGTTGATGCTGCACTATAATCCCAGTTTTCAATACCGTTGCTAAGCATTAAACTGTCTCCTTCTTCTTTAGGAAAGCATCTCCATAGCAGCAGTTATTTAAAATAGATGTGTGGAGCCTCATGTGTACAACATGCCTGTAAACCCAGGAGACTAAGTCAGGAGATCATTTGAGCCTAGCACATGGAAACCAAACAGGGCAGCATAGAGAAACATGTTATTAAAACAAACAAATGAGCAACAACAAATGTGTGTATGGGAAATTGTGTAAGGGTGGTGAAGGGTCAGTCACTCCAAGTTGAGGCATGGGAGTGACTCCATCAAACCCAGTTTTGCCTGAGATTGCTGCAGAGTCTCTGTTAAACTTCCTGTTGTGGAAGCAAAGCCTGGTTATTCATGTTTATAGAATATAATATATATAGTTTATAAATATAAAATAAAATATAAAATATATAGTTTTTATAAAAGGCTTCTGACATTGTGGGAACTAACATTCACCCACTTCTTTTTAGTTTACAGGAAAGCCGTCCATTTTCAGTTGATTTTTTCAGGAAAATGATACAGTTTGAAAAGGAGCAGGTGAGTATTCTGAGCCCTTCCTGCTGGAAACAAGGCTCTGTGGTTATTACTCAGGGCAGCATCTTTCATTTAAACTTTAGTTCGAGTGGAGTGCAAACTCCTGGTCCCTTGGTTCAGCCTCTTTCCATAGAGCTGGTAAGAATGGTAATTAAGCCGAGAGAGGGTGTACTTCTGGAGAACAGGAAGCTTCCCTGCTAGGCTGGGTGACGCGGCTGCTGGCCTCCGCAGTGCACTGTTCTCCTCTTGGCTTGGGCTGTAGAATGAGCACGTAATTATTGTTTCTGATGATTTTAACTGTAACTTATGAGGAGAGTGAAAAGGTAGGAGAGTCTCAGTTAAATAATACATGGCTCAGGGTGGTGTGTCTTTAATCCCAGCACTCAGGATCTCTGAGTGTGAGGCCAGCCTGGTCTATAGAGTGAGTTCCAGGACAGCCAGGGCTACACAGAGATACCCTGTCTTGAAAAACTAAAAAAGGAAAATTAAAAAAAAAAAAAAAAAAAAGCTTTAGATGATATTAATCTACTGTGAAAATGCATTCAAAGGAATACATTTAATAGCAGAGGTGGAGCTGGAGCCTAGAGGTGCTGTAGTAGGGTGCTTTACTAGCATACACAGAGATCTGGCTTTGATTCCCAGTGCCACATAAACTGGGTGTGGTGGTGAACACCTGCTGTCTCAGCACTTAGGAGGTGGAGACAGGTGGATCAGGAGTTCCAGGCCATCCTTAGTTACATAGAGTTCAAGGACAGCCAGAGCTACAAAAGTAGTGCCCACTATTCTGTTAGGTTATAGCCTGTCACCATTCTAGAGGTGGGAGGACCTGGGAGAATGTGGGAGAGGTGGACTAAAGTCTCATGCAGTAGCCAACCTTACTTGGAGCCTCGGACAATTTATACTCAGGTTAAGACAGATCATATGAGTAAAGTTCTCATGAGTTCAGACTGTATACAGTCTCAAGGACAAGCCAACATGGCAAAAAATATGCTTTCCATAGAGGCACATAAAGGATAATTGAATAATAACAGCAGCAAGCAGTTCCTACCTGCTGCACCTGGGAAAAGCATGAAAACACATTCCAAGAACAGTTTTGTGCTTTTGAAGACACTGAGGTCACAAGACTCTGTCTTGTTTTCTTGGAGTGTTCTCACAAGCACTCAGAATTCTCCTCACCTGACTCCATTCCTGGACTGTGTTCTGACAGCCCACACTTTGTTACCTGTAATGGTGCTGAGGTGCTTGCCAGGTGAAGGAGTACTTAAAGCCAGAGGGCTTAAGGAACTTGAAGATCATGTACTAATATTTATGTGTTATTGTGGTATACGAGTTTTAGAGCAAGGTATGGTAGCTCATGCCTTTAATCCCAGCACTCAGAGGATTGCTATCAACTCTGTACCAACCTGGGCTACATAATGAAATCTTGTCTCAAAAAAGAGAAAGGAAGGTGTTAAAGTGGTCGTAACTCTGTGTCAGAGCACAGATTCTCAAAAGGAGGAAATCCTAGCATAGGTTATAGAACTGTCTATTTTTTCATTTAAATCCCACTCGGCCCCTCAAGGGTTTCAAGTGTTATTCCTGTGACACCTCACAGGTTCCACCCTGAATATAATTAGACTTTTTCCTACGTCAGCAGGGCAAAGTGCTTTCCTGGTTGACATTCACTTCATTCTGGTAAATGTGTTTTTTTTTCTTGGTCATACTTATTTTTTGTGTGCCACAGTGTGAGTGTGACAGTCAGAGGACAACTTTGGGAGTTGATTCTCGGCTTCTGCCTTGTGGGTGCTGGGGATTGAACTCAGGCTGTCACGCTTGGTGGCAGGTGCCCTTGGCTGCTGAGCAGTCTCTGAAGTCTTGTTCTTCCTCTTTTGGGATAAGCTGAGAACTAGGCTGGTTTGGTCTTTCCCCTTTAGATACCTAACAGAAGTTGCTTAAAATACAGTCGAGATGGATTTATGGTTAGACAATGAAGCCAGATCTCCTGGTTGTTTTTATAGGAACCCTGCAAGATGGCAAACCTGAGGGAATATTACGAGAGGGCATTGAGAGAGTTTGGGTCTACGGATTCTGGTAAGTAAGCTTCAGTTGTGTGTGTGAGCGATGCTCGTGCAGTCTCTGGACTGGTAGGTGGGTAGAATAGTGTTTGTGGTTTGCACCTCAGGCCCTTCTTAGAACAGTTCTACAGTGCTTTTCCTGCCTTCTTCTCTTGTGGTTTTTGAGACAAGGTCTTGCTCTGTAGTCTAGGCTACCTTGGAACCCACTACATAGCCTAGACTGACCTCAAACTTCTGCCAATACCCCTGTCTCCACCTCTGTAGCATAGGATTTTACTTATGTTTGAAGTTTGCCAGTTCTCATATCCACTAGTTCTCTTAAGGACTCTGGATCAGACAAAGATTTGCTTGGTTTTGGTCTCTCTCTATTTTTGTTTTTTCCAGACAGGGTTTCTCTGTGTAACTCTGGCTGTCCTGGAACTCCCTCTGTAGACCAGGCTGGCCTCAAACAGGGATTCGCCTGCCTCTGACTCCTGAGTGCTGGGATTAAAGACATACTCCACCATGCCCAGCCTTGGTTTGGGTCTCATAAAAAGAAATTTATGTGGGCTGGTGAGCTGGCTCAATGGCTAAAGGCACTTGTTTCCAAGCATAAAGACGTGAGTTGGAGCTCTTGAACCCACACGGTAGATAAAAAGGACTGACTTCCACAAGTTGTCTTCTGATCTCCACATGTATGCCATGCCATGAAGGTGTGCATGCACACACACAATATAAAATAAACAACTCTTTAAAAATTATGTGTGCTGGGATGTAATGGTTCATAACTATAATCCTCTGCTGTAGAGGTGGAGACAGGAATATTGCCAGGAGTTTGAGGCCAGTCTAGGCTATGTAGTGAGTTCCAGGCTAGCCTGTACTACAGAATGAGACCCTGTCTCAAAAAATCAAACTAAATCAGATGAAATCAAAACAAGTATGTATAAATGTTAGTGTAGGCCAGTAGTCACGGCTAGTTATCACAGTGGAAAGGAGGGTCTGTGAGTGCTTAGTCAGTTATACTGGGGCTAGTCTGCTGTGGCACAGGGGGGCGCTGACTAGATAACAACAGTGTACCGTGCCCTTTAAAGCGTAGAAAGGAACCTGGATGACGGTGTCTGTTCGCCTTCAATCCCAGCACTCTGAAGGCAGTGGCAGGTCCACAGAGCAAGTTCCAGGACAGCAAGGACTCCGATCTTGAAAAATCAAAAAAAGTAGGCCAGCACTCAAGAGAGAGAGGCAGGAGGATGTCTGAGTTCTAGGCCAGCCTGGTCTACAGAGTGAGGTCCAGGCCAGCCTGGTCTACAGAGTGAGGTCCAGGATAACCAGGACTACACAGAGAAACCCTGTCTCGAAAAACCAAAACAACAAAGTAGAAAGGAGTTTAAAAGTTTTCACTGTAAAGAAATGATGAACGTTTGAGGCAATAGACAGGCTTAACTTTATTTAAACCTTACACAATGCTTATATGTATCAGTATTACATGGTACCTCATTTTATTCATATATTCTAAATTGTTACTTACATTAATTGTGTATGTGGCAGTTTCTTAGAACTTGTTAATTGGCTTGGTATTAAATAATTGAATTTGCCTAATAGAGCCTTCCCAGCTTTCTAATTAGGTTTACAGTAATTTTTTTGTTTCCTTTTCAAGATCTTTGGATGGATTACATCAAAGAAGAATTGAGCCACCCCTTCGGCAGACCTGAGAACTGTGGGCAGATCTATTGGCGAGCCATGAAAATGCTGCAGGGACAGTCAGCAGAGCTGTTTGTAGCTAAACATGCCATGCATCAGGCTGGCCACTAGCAAAGAGTACTACCAATTTGGTGAAATTGTATTGCAAGCCTCTAGGACGGTTTGTAGTAGGAGTCACTGTATGAACTGTTGAGAAGTGGCAGACAGGGTAGCCGATTGATTTTGTAACATACTTTAATTTTAATTAAAGAACCATTAATCTTTGGTTCCAGAAAAGAGAACTGCCGCTGCCTGTTAAATCTAAAATACACGGAAATCGTACGCTTGAGTTTCATTTCTTGTTCCAGGACAAGCACACACAGCTCTAATCCAGACTAGGTCTGATGGAGCCAGTGCACACGCACGAGAAAGGATAGTTTTGTGTGTTTTCACCTTGTTGTGAAAGCCTGTATGATGCCTGTGGAGACAGGAAGGACGAGGGCGGTGCTGAGGAGAAGCAAGCCATCTGTAATCCAAATGAGGTTGAACCTAAGTGACTTGATTCCCTGTATCAAAGTTGGATTTGTACTTCTAGATCATTCAAGAAATCAGGCCTTCCTTCACATGCAGGAACGAAGGGAGACTTGGATGAGGAACAGAGAAGGAGGTGCTGGGTATGGGGGGGAGTTGTCCTTTAAGAAGGTTAAGGTAACGAAGAAAGTTATTTACTCCAAGGATTGACAGGCCAAGAAGTGTTTGTATAGAGGAGGCCCAGCAGCAAAAGGACAGGCCAGGGAGTGGGGAAGTGCCTCAGTGGGAGGGATGGAGGGGTGGAGGGGAGGAGGGAAGAAATTGTTTGGAAGCAATCCTTTCACTCTTCTTTAATACCAAGGGTAGAAACTAAATCTGTATGCATTTGACACATGTGCTTTACCATGGAGACAGCTCCTCAGCCCTCTTACTTTCTGTTTTGAGCTGGTCTCACTAAGTTCTTGCTGGCCTTGAAAGTACTCAAGTCTAAGCAGGCCTTGAACATTCAATCCTTCTGCCTCAGCCTCTCAAGTAGCTGAGATTACAGGCCTGAATCACTAGATCTGGCTTTAACATAACATTTTGATATCACTGAGAAAGTATTCAGAACAAGTTACTTAATATTAAGCCTTCATTAAGGTTACGTTATTCCTCATGTTATTAAATGAACTTAAAAAACACCTAAGGAATTCATAGCATTCCATTGTCTTCCTTTATTAATCCCCTGTGGTTAGACCTTGTCATTTATTATTTGTTTTAATTATAAATGCTGTTGGTGAGGATTCTTGTCAATCTTTGGTCACATCCATGGGTGCTTCCTTAGGGGACTTATTTGACAGTGAAATTGCTGGATCTAGGTGAAAGACAGAGAATACTGATGTTTTGCTAGTTTGCTCTTTCCAGCAGCATGTGAAAGAGACAACACCTTTGTCTGCACTAGGTATTACATATTTCATTTTCATCAGTTTATAATTCTCCATGTAGTAGATGAAGATAAATCATTGTTTAAACTACTTTTTCTTACTAATTTGTGTTTTAAAAATGCATTGAGAGTGTTAGTCTTTTGTTTGTCTTTCATGTCTTACAAATAAGTTTATGCTTCCTCTTCCCTTTGTTTGGTGTTTTTGATACCCAGAAGAATTTTTGTGTGATTTCCCACCCCCCTACCCCCCAGTACTGATATCAGACCTAGGGCCTCACACATGCTAGGTAAACACTCCGACACTCTCCACCCTCAGTATTAAAGTCTCTTGCCAAAGACAACTCAAGTAGCACTAAGTAGCTAGTCAGATGGTTCTCTGTTTGGTTCATTCTATGACCCTTAGTATATATTGAATTCTTATGTAGGTTAGAGTATTTAGTACATTTTTATTTTGAGCCTTTGTTTGTTGACATTTGCTTTTTAAAAATTTAATTTTACATGTACGGCCGTTTTGCCTGCATGTATGTCTGTGTGCCATTTGCTTGTCTGGTGTCCTTAGAGGCTAGAAGAAAGTGTTGGAATTACCTGTGGTTGTGAGGTGTTGGGAATTAGACCCACGAAGCTCAGTTTTCTAAGTCTATTTATGTGGTGTTTTAGGAAGAGGTACATGTTGCTTGTAGGATAGAGAGCAAAGAGGATGATCGTAGGCTATTTTAGGGGCAAGGGTACCTTTGGGTGGGTCACCTAGTCCGATTATGCATATCATGAAAATGCATCTCGCTAGTTCAGCGACAGTTATGTTTATATCTAAAATTAAGCAGTCCAGTTCTTATTCACACTGTTTACTTTTCTTTCTTTTTTTTTTTTTTTTCTTCGAGATATGTAGCTAGAGTTTTCCTGCCTGGCCCACAGTCAGGACAAATCTCTCTCACCTGCCAGTCCCATAGCCACTCAGACCCGACCAAGTAAACACAGAGACTTATATTGGTTACAAACTGTATGGCCGTGGCAGGCTTCTTGCTAACTGTTCTTACAGCTTAAATTAATCCATTTCCATTAATCTATACCTTGCCACATGGCTCATGGCTTACCAGCATCTTCACATGCTGTTTGTCATCATGGCGGCTGGCAGTGTCTCTCTGACTCAGCCTTCCACTTGCCAGCTTTATTCTCCTCCTTGTCCCGCCTATACTTCCTGCCTAGCCAATGGCCAATCAGTGTTTTATTTATTGACCAATCAGAGCAGCACATTTGCCATACAGAACATCCCACAGCAGAGATAGGGTTTTTCTGTGTAGCCTTGGCTGTCCTGGAACTCTCTCTGTAGACCAAGCTGGCCTTGAAATCACAGAGCTCCTTCTGCTTCTGTCTTGAGAGTGCTGGGATTAAAGGCATGGGCCACCAACGCCTGACTTTTTTTTTTTTTTTTTTTTTTTGATACAGGGTCTCACTGTAATCCTGGCTGGCCTGGAACTCATCCGGAGCAAGCTGGCCTCAAACTCACAGAAATCTGCCTGCCTCTGTCTCGCCAAGTGATCAAAGGTCTGTGCAGCTATGAGGGGCCACACTTGTTACATCTTAAGTGCTTAAATAGCCCATGGTTACCATATTACTCAGTACCAATAATAGACCTTTTATTTCCACTCTTGCATGAGATTCTGATAGGGAGCACAGTGACAGAGGCAGTCAGATTTGAGGAAACTGAGTTGTGGATCAGCACAACAGAACACACATTAATTGGCCACATTCCCTTCTTTATAGGAAAGTATATGGGGGGAGAACAGACATTGAATATTTTTTTAAATATTTATTTTATGTATATGAGTTACCTGTCTTCAGGCACACCAGAAGAGAGATCCCATTATAGATGGTTGTGAGCCACCATGTAGTTGCTGGGAATTGAACTCAGGACCTCTAGAAGACCAGCCAGTGCTCTTAACCACTGAGCCATTTCTCCAACCCCCTAACATTGACTATTATGTGTCAGCTTTACCCTGTTTTCTTCCCTTAATGCCTTGTGTTGTTTATAAACACATTCTCTGGGGTAGATAAAGTTGAAAAGACTCACTTAGGTCCCAAAAGACTGAGAAGGTTCCTTGGTGAGCAAAGCTAGAGTTTAGGTAGTGCCAGGGGCAGGGGCAAGGTGGGGTGGAGTAGGGTGGGGTGGCTGGGGTGGTAGTGGTGAAGTGGACAGTTGTCTGGTTTTTCCTGGGGACATGTGAACAACTGTCTATTCACCACACATCAGCACTTCCAGTAGACCATACCAAGTGTAGCCTAGGGAACCAGTGAGTTTATGAGGGTTACTTACAGGAGCACAGTTGGTTGAAAGGCACCACTGAGAAGTCCATAAAAGCTCTGTTTCTCCTCATCTCTCAGGCAACTCCTGAAGTCTCTCTCCCGGCACTATTTGATTGCTTATATAATATTGGGGGTGGGACTTCCTGAGTCTTCAGAAGGGAGTGCATCAGTGAAGGCTGTCTGCAGTTGGACTTTTCCCCTCCAAGTCCTGCCTGTCCTAGGTGCCACCTTGTTTGCTGTGAGGCAACAAGGAGAGTGAGCAGGCTCTGGTCAGAGTCTGTCACAGGACAGAATGTTTAGGGTCCACACAATGTAGGAGTTTTTGACCAACTCTTTTGGTGTTGAATGGATTAACCCTAAAGACCATCCTTAACTCAGGGTGGGGGACCTGGTTGCTGAGTTCTCATCCATTTGTGAATAAGTTATAGTTGAATTGCATCCTAGAATTAAAGAAAAACCCGTGAAATGATAGGGTGAAAAGTGGTTGGAAATTCAGAGGCATTTTTATACCATCAGGCATACTCGGGCCATTTTCGTGATGGGAATTCAGATGGTGAAGCTGAAACACAGCACTTATTGGGTAGGGATGATACTTGCCATTTCAGACCCAGCTAGTCATCCAGCCTTAAGCCCTACACAGGTAGTTGCTGCCAGCATCAATACCCCAGAAGTTTGAACCAGCACTGGACAGTGGGGAGTACTTGTCCTGTCAGCACATGAGGTCTGTCAGTGCTGCCCTGCCCAGGCTTCTTCCTGACCGGAATCTTTTCCCCTTGACCCAGAGTAGACACTGCTGAGGACAGACCTTTGCAATAGATTCTTTAGCTGGCAGCCAGATCCTGGGAATCTTGTGGCTAAGCAGCTTCCCGGGTGTGGAACCTTAGCACACCTGGAATCTCAGGCAGCTGTGGTCAGGTGCTGGCGACCACATGACTGCCTCAGGCTAGCAGCTGTGGAGCTTGCAGGATACTTCCCCCAGCTCAGAAGTGAGCTCTGCCAGCACCTGCAGCCCGGGGGGTGGGGAGGTGGGATGGGATGGGGTGGGGGGTGGGGGAGTGGGAAGGTGTGGCCAGGTGCAATGGATCAGGGGAAGCCTGTGGGCTGGCAAGCTGAGGCCGGTAATAGCCTGCTAAGAGGCTTCAGGGCAGGAAGCCCATGGGTGTAGATGGGCACTTGGAAGGCAAGCAAGGCTGGAGGTTCCTCTGTGTCTTGGTAAATGAGAGTTGAAGCTGATGGCAGAGCTGAGGACAGCAGCTGGGGAGCCTGGATGAGGGCCAGGTAAGGGCAACAGAAGAGGGGACTCACCTAAAGATGCCTATGTGTTGGTGGGATGCCCCGCTCACCCTGAACACCAGGTCGCATATGTGTGTACTTTTATATTTTATTTTATTTTTTTAAAAAGATTTATTTATTTATTATGTATACAGTATTCTGCCTGCATGTGTCCCTACAGGCCAGAAGAGGGCACCAGATCTCATTACAGATGGTTGTGAGCCACCATGTGGTTGCTGGGAATTGAACTCAGGACCTCTGGAAGAACAGTCAGTGCTCTTAACCACTGAGCCATCTCTCCAGCCCAACTTTTATATTTTAAAGGAACCCAAAGGCCCCTTTTAATTCAGGGTTTCCAGAAACCTATTTTCCTGTTGTGCTAGTCAGCCTCTGGTTTTCCCAAGACCGTTATTACAGTCTTCACCTGCCCTTGTTCAGTGTCGGCCCCTGCTTTAGCAGTGAGCTCCTTGGCAGTAGAACTATGCTTAAGGCTGTATCTGGCACCCAGCACCTTGCCTGGCACAGTCCATATGCATAGTAATTGGGCTGGTGATCCAAGATGGCACTTACTAGAGAATATGAAGAGATTTGGAAAGGGAGTGACTGGGTTGCAGAGTTGGGTGAGACTATTTTGTCAGGGCAGAGCAGGACAGCATGTGCTCTTTTCTGTGGTGAAAGGGTGGTGGTCTCCTGAAAGTGGAGACGAGAAATCGCAGGGCAAATGGCCTTGGAGTTTGGGTCCCAGAGCAGGCAGAGGCAGACAAATACGTTTAGCAGGTAGATGGATGTGTATATGTATAAGTGATAGGGCTGATCTTGTAGTGGAATGCTGTTGAAAGTTTCAAACTTTGATATGTACCTGTGAGTGCCTGCATATGTGTATGCATGTGAACCATGTGCGTGCCTGGTGCCCACAGACCACAAGGGCATCAGCTCTCCAGGAACTGGGGAGCTACGGGCAGTTGTGCATTGCCCTGTGGGTGCTACTCCACTGACCCACTTCCATCTGTGCCTCCGATCTGAAGGCTCCCCAGCTTCCCAAATAGTGCCGCCCCCTGGGGACCAAGTGTTCACACATGAGCCTGTGAGGGACATTTCACATTGATCTCTAATATGGGGCTGGTAATAACTACCTCTTAGGGTTCTGAGGGTGGAGTGGGAGGACCTAAAACTGTACTGTCCAATTCAGTAGTCAGTAGCCAC